TGGTGACGCTAAAGAAAGCTCTGGCTGCCTGGTCCCTGGGGCAGTCCCGGGACTCAGCCAGACTAGGTCCCGGCCCTCCCTCCATCCCTCCCTCCTTCCCAGAAGGTGCTTCCAGGAGGTGGAAAGGAGGAACCTGAAAGGGCAGCCAAACCCGCAAAGGGGTTCCCAGCCTGGGGCTCGGCTGTGGAACCACGAGCCCTTTGTCAGCGGCCTCCGGGTGCCCTTTCCCCGAGAGCAGCTCGCTGGAGGGCTCAGCTGGCCTCTCTGGGCCCTCGGCCTCCACTCCTGTCATCCCAGCAGCCCTCCAGAGAGACTCTCCGAGGCCTTGGGGGGAGGCTGCCCATCGCCACCCCGGCCCCCTCCCCAGGGTTGGCTGCCCCTTCCCGTCAGCCAGGAGTGCCAGGGGCAGGGAGCTCCCAGGCATATCCTACAGGGACGAGTGGGTGGTGCCCTTGCGCTGGCACATCGGATGGAGCCAGGGGCATGTGGCCGCGCGCTGGGAGACCTTCGGGAGAAGCAGGGCCAGGGAAGGGGCAGGAGCTGGCTGGGAGAAACAAGGAGCCCAGGGGCGCCCGGAGCCCAGTGTCAAGTGTCTGTCCTCTGGCATGTCTGTGGGGATGGGACGGGCAGCAGTGAAGGTCCTGCTCACGACTTGTCCCTGGGATTGAGTCTGGCCTCGGCCACTGACTCCCTGAGTGACCTCAAGGAAGGAGCTAAATGTGTCCCCAGCTGATTCTTCAGCTATGAGATGGGAATGAAGCAGGGATGTGACGTTGTCAGGCCTGGCCCGAGGAGTGCTGGGATAGCAGGCCACCTATGAGTCCCCAGAAGCTGCAGCAGGGAGGGGACCGCAGAAGAGCTTAGGCAAGTAAATCCACCTGCTCGAGGAAAGGCTGGGGTGGAAAGTGTTCTCCTGCTCTAGGCAGATGCTTCGACGTCTCTGCCCCCTCGAGGGGCCCGTCTCAGGCAGGACCTGTCTGCTTTCTTCCTCGCCCCCACCCAGGGCTCAACCGGCGCAGCTTGGGTGCTCAGAGCCAACACGAGGCCCTCAGCTTTGGGCCATCCCTCTCCTCGGTTAATGTCACCATGGGTGACCATCCCTCCCCACCCCTCCTTTGCTCTCCCCATGTCCTGTGGGCTTGGCTGGGCTATAGGGCTCACTTTCTGGGGGCTGGGGGCTGGAATGCAGCAAGTGTGCGTGCCAGAGGCGCCATCTTCAGCGCCCCTCATGGTGGGGGTGGTTGGGCAGCGCCGGAGCTAGGGGCTCAGCCCACGTGCAGCTGGCGGGACCTGCATGGCGTTGGGAGGCGAGGCCAGAGCAGAAGAGGAGGCATGATTTGGGGACTGGCTCAGGGAACAGAGCGGAGAAGGGCCTCAGGAAACAGTCTCTCCTTGGACCCGCTGCGGACTTCGAATGCCCAGCGTGCAGTGAAAACACAGGGCTCCTTGATTCACACTTGTCAAGAATTTCAGAATGATGACGTCAGAGCACCCAGCCAGGCGGAGGCCCTTCTGTGCGGCTGTGTGGGTGACACCCCATGACACTGTCCTGGGTGCCATCTTCTCATTAAGTCCCTGAAGCCTGTAGGAAACGCGGGTTCCCCTCACGTCCTTGTGCCCAGCCTCCAGGACCCCTCCCGCCCAACCTCGCCTCTGCAGAGCCTCCTGGGAGCTCTGTCCGCATCCTGTTGCTCCTGACCTTGAGGCCTAAGTCCCACGTGCCTCCTGGAAGCCGGGCTGTTGTTCCTGGCCTCTCGGGTCCTGCCTGCAGCCCCTCCCCCAAGATGTGGCCCCTCCCTGCCCCTCCCCTGGCTGTCCAGCGTGCAGCCCGGCACACCTGCACGGTGACAGAGGTGACAGAGCTGGACCCGCCCTCTCTCCTTTCTGTCCCCCCTCACCCCCCACACCACCACCCCCCTCCCCCCCGCCGCCCTCCTTCGATACACGCCTGCCCTTGAGAGGTGCTGAGGGAGCTCCCACGCATACGTGGGGCAGAGGAGAGTAAGGGAGAGCCCAAGATCCAGATCTAGGCAAGGGCTGAGCAAAACTCGGGGCTCCAGAGGGTCCCCAGATGTGCTGACTCTGCAGTGTTTCCCCGAGCTGAAGCCCCCAGAGCAGGCCTGACCTGAGCCCCCTGCCCCACCATGGCCTGGGGTGCAGGAGGGAGGAGAGAAGGATACAGGCTTCAGGGCAGGCTGCTGATAAAAGCACTAAAAGCTCAGGAAGGATCATAAGCGTGGGGCATCGGGATGGGAGCGAGTGAAGGATCCCCTCTTTCTGGGCCTCGGGGCCTCAGAAGTCAGCAGCAGGCGCCCCCTCAGGAGAGCGCTCAGCCCCAAGACCTCCCTGGGTCTCTGCTCACATCACACTCAACTCCGTCCCCTCCACGGGTCCCTTGCTCTGTCCTAGAAGGGCCCATGTTCCCAACGGTTCCACTCCTGACCACTCCCACTGGCTTGTCTCAGGACCCCTCCTCTGACAGCCCATGACATGTCTTGGGTTAGGGTTGCCAGATCCAGCAAATAAAAATACAGAACCGCCAGTTAAATGAATTCCAGATAAACACAGAAAAATCTTTAGTATACATATATCCCGCGCAGTGTCTGGGATATACTTATATTAAAAAAAAAAAAAAAAAAATTATATATATATTTATATATATATGTATATATTTAGAATGTAGTTACACTTTTTTTTAAAAGATTTTATTTTTCTTTAAAGATTTTATTTATTTATTGGACAGAGATCACAAGTAGGCAGAGAAGCAGGCAGAGAGAGAGAGAGAGGAGGAAGCAGGCTCCCTGTAGAGCAGAGAACCTGATGCGGGGCTCGATCCCAGGACCCCGGATCATGACCTGAGCCGAAGGCAGCGGCTTTAACCCACTGAGCCACCCAGGCACCCCTGTAGTTACACTTTTAAAAATGCAGTGGTTGATACTTACTTTGGTAAAACATTATTTATTTATCTGAAATGCTGAAATTTGTGTATCTGGCAACCCTCCTTGAGAGGCATCTGGGAATATCAGAGTGGGAAGGAGCTGGGGCGGGGAGCAGTCTGGAGCCTGGCAGGATGGCCATCGGCCATCTCTCGGCCTGTGCTTTGCAGTCAGTGGGTCTGACTGCCCCAAGCCTGCCCCTTTGTCTGCGTCTCCTTCTCCTCCTCCAGCCCCTGCCCTTGCCCGTCCTCCTCCCTTCCCATCTGATGTGGTCACAAGGCAGCGACTGCCCTCCCTCTTCAACACTGTCCCATTTCTGACCATCCTTGTTGCCATACAGGGGTGGGGGGGCCACTGGGAGGTAGGGTCCCCCCTTGAAGCTGCCAGCCCCGAGAAAGTCCCCTGTGGAAACGGTCAGGAGCCTCCTACTGAAAACAGATTTTTCTTTGAGCAATCCAGGGGCAAGAAATGACGCTTGACCTCGAGCATCAGGGAGCCGCTATCGAGGGAGGGTGGGGAGCCCCAGTCTAGGGTCTTTTCTACAACACCGGAGGAAAACAGTCAGATGAGCTCATCAAAATGTGTCCTCACCGTATTCTCCAAATCCCCTTTACTACTGACAGATCCCGGGGCACGCCTGAAAATGCCTGTAACTTTGAAGTCCAGACAAGTGTCATTTTCAAGGTCACGGGCACTGCTGATGAGCTTGGTGTGGTCACATGCACATGTGAAGGAAACACCAAATTTCCAGTAAAAAACACTCAAAATAAACAGGTATCTTTCCCTCCACCCCCAGCCACATTCATGGATTCTCTGAAATTTGCCCACGGACCCCAGATGAGAACCACAAAGTGGGTCCCAAGCAGCCTTTCAAAAGGGTAAGAAGCAGAACAGAGAAAAATGTCAGCAAGGGTCTGGGGTTCCCAGCCCAAGTGAACCCCGGCCTTGCTGCCTGCCGCTGTGACGCAGGCCAGGCTGCTGGGCTCTCTGTGCCTCAGTTTGCTCGTTTTCCAGGCAGGAGCCGCTGGAGGCCTATGCCCACGGGGTCGCTCGGGTGCAGCCGGACCTGACAGCCGGCGCCAGCAGCCAGCCTTGGCTGTGCATGTGCTCGGTGGCGCGGTGCAGAACCTGCCTTCCTGCGGTCACCGTCCCCCAGTGTTTGGAAGCCCTGTCGCTGGAGGTCGCTGAGACTCGAGGCAAGCTCTCATGTGGGATCCCGGGCTCGGGATGGGGCACACAAAGAACACGCGTGCCCGGGGTCTGCACGAGCTCCCAGGCTGCTCTCACAATCACACCTCCAGGAGCCTGTCTTCAGCTGCCTTCGCCCTACTGGTCGCACCGCCTGGAATGCCCTCGGCCCTGTCTCCACTGGGCCAGGCGTCCCTCCACCTGCAGGCCCAGATGCTGCCTCCTTTCAGAAGGGGTGGGGGGGGCCACTGGGAGGTAGGGTCCCCCCTTGAAGGAGGGAGGATCCCTGGAGGCAGGGTCCCTGCAGCACGCCCCTCTTCCTCTGCCTCTACGCAGGTGCTGGACCCGTGAATGCAGCTGCTACCACCTGCTTCTGCCTCCACCCACCCCGCCACAGGGCACCCATCAGCCGGACCCCTGGCCTCTTCTCTTAACCATGAGGGGTTGGGGGAGCCCAGCAGAGATGCGCTCAGCAAGTCGGGACGTGAATGGCTGGCTTCCCTGAGGCCTGTCACCCACTCGGTGAAGACCAGGACTGAGCCTGGGCCGTGAGAGGCCCACGGACGGGCTTGGGGTCAGGACGGGGTAGGGGGTGTCCTTGGAGCCCAGACTCCCGAAAGATGGGAAATCTCAGAGGCCTAAGGTCTGCACAGGCAGAATCCCCAAGGCCTGGGGCGTCAGACCCGCTCCTTCCTCACCCTGCACCTCTGCCCCGGAAGCCTCGTCCCCCGCCAGCCGGGAAAGCTTCCGTCACACCTCGGACCCAAGGACCACACGTGGAGCCGTCGTTCTCGCAGAAGCATTATTTATTGCTGGATTCCAGCTGAGGTCGACTCAGCTCCCCTCAGCCCCCTCGGCTCACCCCGAGCCCTACTCTCATTCAGCGGAGGTAGGGGGTGGGGCAGTGGTTTCCTCCTCCTCCTCTGGAGGGTAGTCCCAGCGAAAGCAGAGGCCTGAAAGGCCTAAAATCTTATGCTGACCACAGATTCCTGTGAGCACCTTCCCCCCACCACCGGCCAAGAAGCTGTTGCCACTTTCCCGCCCAAACAAGGCGTAGCGCCCCCAGTCTGTGGATATGAACAGGAACCGGATAAACACCCTGTGGGAGCCGAAGATGGTATCGATGTGTTCTCCCGGCTGCAGGAGGAACTCCTGGGTCGTCCCACCCGAGGCGCCAAACACCCGGCCCCAGGAGTTGCCACATCGCACCTGGATGCTGGGAGATGGGGCGGTGGAGGGGGGGGCGGGTAGAGCTGGAGGCCAGAGCCGGGCTGGCCCCCCACTCCCTGGGCACTCCGTCCCCTTGTGAGGACAGCAGTCCCCTCACTGCTGGTAAACATCCCCAGCCCGCAGACAGAGCTGTCGCCCTCACACCCTTGCTTTGATGCTTTCGGGCCCTGTGGGCTTGGGCTGGTCACCCAGCCTCTCCAGGCCTTATCTGAAAGTGGTTTGGGGGGCAGTCATCGAGATCATTCATCAGGGACCCCTCGGGCGGTGCCAGCTGCTGTCACTGCACACAGTGGGGAGCTGTCCCCAGACCCAGCTTGGACTTTGAGCCCCAGGTACTGACTAGACCAGGTCCCCGGCCTGAGAAGCAAGTGATGCCCCCCGTAGTCACCTGGGGGAGTCCCACTAGCTCTGCCCCTCGGGCCTCCCTGTTCCCTCCACACGCCTCCTCCCACTGGCCCCACCGGTGCTCTGTCCCCTCTGACGCCTGCTGCTCTGGCCAGGACCCTGGGTGTGTAGACCACGGATCCGCCTGGGCCCTGAGCAAGGTTAGGGCAGGGACCAGCTCTGGGCCTTCACACATTTCTGCTGGCTTGTGTTCCGCCAGTGTCCTTTCTGACGTCCCTGCCTTTCCTCCGACCCTCCCCCGGACAGACCACCCTCGGGCTCCCCATCGGGCATCTGGAGCAGAGTATCTCAAGCCTCTCGGACTGAGAGGCTGTTTGGGGTTGAAGGGAGAAAGGAGGGAGGAGCATCATCTCCCCCTCTTTTTAGATCAGCCCAGGAAGCCAGCGGGTCTTGCAGACAATGGGAGGGGCTGCCGTGCGGGGGAGGGGGCGCCAAACGGGGACAAGCAGGGAGCTGGTGGCTGCCGGCTCCGCAACTCCCAGGGTCATCACGAGCCCCCCACAGGCACGCGGGGACGAGGTGCGAAGCCCCCTCCGCTGGCTGCTAAGGCCGTGGCGATGGGGCTCCGGGCCCTACTCACCTTTTCACCAGGCCAATGAGATCCACAGCCACCCGGACTCCGGTGATTTCACAGTCACTGGAGGTGCTGAAATACGTGCCTCCTCCGGCCCCATACATCTCTAGACGGACGAGGGGACCAGCAGGGGAAGAGAAGGGCACCACAGGCTGACCGGGAGCATGTCCCTCCCCCGAGCTGGACACAGCCCTCCAGACAGCCATGAGGCCCTGGGACTGGAGTCGTTGGTTTGTGGCGAAGGGTGAGCATGGGCCCCCGGGGGCGGGCTGGGGCGGGGGTGAGGATGCCCCCCCCACCCCGGGGGCCTGGCAAGCTGGGGTGTCAGACCCAGTGAGACTTACGCTCTGCCCAGCAGGTGGCGCTCCACAGGAGGCCGAGAGTCAGCCCCAGCAGCATGGCCTCTGGATGGTGAGTCCCAAGGCTCCTGGAGGGAAGAGGAAGGCCCCTGCCTCTGAGGGGGGCCCCCATTGGACCTCGCCAGGCCCCATCGTGGGAGGGGAGCGCCACCATACCTGACTGTGAGTCTTGTCGCCCAGTCCTGGTGGCACAATGCCTTGTGTCTGGGCACTCTCTCCCCGGCCCTTTATACCCACCCCATCCCCATGGGCCCCCATCCAGAAGGAAGAAGTGAGGGCCACGGGGGGAGCAGGAAGGAATGGTGGTGAGGGCTCTTCCTGGGGGAATCCCAGAGCTGTCCTGGGGGAGGCTCCCGGACACACTGTGTTTATTATCTTGGCTTCATGGCCTACACAAACAAAATGGGACAGTGATGAGCGTTTCTCTGCCACCTCCAGGCCTCCCTCCTCAGCACCTGGACTAGAACGGCACTTTAAGTGGGGGGTTGCTGAGACCCCCCCCAACCAGCTTGGCCAGACAGGTCTGCACCCCGTGGGGGAGCTGCAGTCGGGTGCCCACTGGGGCTCCTGCCTTGTGCAGAATCGGCCCCAGGACCTCGTTCAGGCCTTTGTGGAGCTTGGGGTCTCGTGGGCTTCCAGGAGCTCAGGCCCAGCTGCCCCTGGACCATCAGAGAGAGCTGGACCTTGTGCCCAGCTTCAGGTAGAAGAGACCCCAGAGGCTGGTCCCCCCATGGTGTGTCACTTGGAAGACAGTGACGGTCTTTCCTTTGTGCCCGGAGCAGATGGCGCCGGGACAGGCTGGCCGCAACAGGCCTTGGGATGACCCAGGCGCAGAGGATTGGGGAGAGGGCAATTCTCTAGGCCAGTGCCCCTGGGCACTCCTGAGGTCAGGCTTAAGGGTCAGACATACCTGGGAGGTAACGGGCCACTTGTCGAGGGCTGCGGGTCTGAGGCCCCTGCCAGTGCTGCCGCTGGAGCCAGACTGGGTCCAGATCTTGGCTTCCCTGTGTGTGGGGCTTGCTGCCGGGAGCTCCCACCACCCCAACACAATCAGGTCATCTGCTGTCCATGGGCTGCGGTACAGCCTCCTCGTGGGCGTTATGAGAATTCGAGGGACCTTCTCCGGCAAGGGTCCGGCCATCCTGGACTCCTCTGTTCTGCTAGGTGGGCAAGGTCGTCCTGGGCCATGTCCTCCGAAATCACTAAAGATCAGAAACAACACGCTTGTCCGTTTGGTGACCGGACACATAAATGATGGTGTTGGCAGTGCAGGGGAGCACTCCGTGGGCTCAAGGAAGGAGGGATGAGTGGCCTGGGCCGGGAGCCAGGCTCAGCACAGACTGGGTGTTCGGGAAGGTCCCATCAGGTCACAAGAAGTGGGTGCTGAGAACGGCCTTTTATGTGCACAGACCCAGTCTGGAAGCGCGGGTTCCCCCCTCCTGCTTTCACCGGGATGCTGGTGTTGGGGGACTGGGGACGGTGTGGAGGCCCTGTCTCACGGGACCTCCACTCCCTACGTGCCTCCGAGGTACCAGGCCAGGGGTTAGCAAACCACGGCCCACGGCCACATCCCACTTCCCACCCCCATGTTGCACAGCCCAAGAGCTAAGAACACTTCTTAGTTTTCGAAGGTTAGAGACAATTCAAAAGAATAGCACTTTGTGACACATGAAAGGCCAGTGAAACTCCATTGGCACGGTCCAAAGAAAGTTTTCCAGGCACACAGCCAAGCCCATTCACGGGCTCATCGTCTAGGGCTGCTATCTCCCCATAGAGCTGGGCCACTGTGACACTCTGTGACCCAGAAAACCTGCCACGTGTGTCCTCTGGCCCTTTACCCACAAAGTCAGCAATCCTGCTGCCTCGCTGGTCCCCAGTCTGGAAGAGAGGCGGTCCCGTCCACAGCATCTCCCAGCTAGCCCCCTGTGGGGAGAGCGAGGGCTGCTTTGGACAGGACCCTTCCTTCTGGGCCTGCGCTGGTCTCTCTGCAGAGGCCCCTTATGGCTCAGCCATCCCCCGCTGACTCACGTTGAAAGCCGAGGGCTCCCCACCTGACCCCCATGCTCCTCGCCCCTCCCAGAGGCCCTCGGGCCCACTGAGGGAAGGGGCAAGGGCAGCCAATCCCCTCCTGAGGCCCCAGAGCCTCCTGTGGGGCGTAGGCAGTAGAGGTGGCAGAGGCCCAGGACCTTGGCAGATGTGACTTGGGAGGAGGGGATGGGGGTTGCACAAAGGGGGCTCTGTTTCTCACCCCACTCAATTGCTGGGTGCTTTTGTGGTTGTCGCTGCCAACTCAGGTGCCTTCTTCCTAGTGCCAGGCTGGCTGGGCTTGCGCCCAGGAGAATCTGTGAGAACCGGAACCCTAGGGAGCACTGCCTGGGGGGCGGGGGAAGGCCCTGGGGAGCAGTACCTGGGGGGTAGAACCCCAGGAGCACTGACTGGGGTGGTAGAACCCCGGGGAGCGCTCCCTGGGAGGTAGAACTCTGGGGATCCTACTGGGGAGTAGAACTCAGGGGAGCACTGCCTAGGGGGTTGACTAGAAGAGCCAGTCGCTGCCTAGATGACAGGGGTGCCAGGACGTGCCAAAAAGCACACACGAGGGACTTTTTCAGAGGGCAGGACTCACGTGCACACACATGCGGTCACACTCGGACGCACCCTCAAGCTCGCACGCCTGCCCGGCTTTGTCCATACACAGGGCCTTGCACGGGACCTGCACGTACGCACACATGCACACCTACTGAGGGACCCCCTCATGCCCTGTGGCGCAGTGCTGGCCCTGGGGAGGCTCAACACAGGCCCTTTGTCCCTCAGGGCAAGAGCTCCCCACAAGGGGATTTGCGAGGCCATAATCCCCACCAAGCACGTGCTCAGACCTCACTGCCAGGAGCGGAAACAATGCGGCCTTCTCCCAGCAGAGGAGAGGGGCTGGACCGGGCACCCTCCCGTCTGGATGTGGGGACTGGGGAGGCCCCTCTGTGCCCTGCAGCCTGCGGCACAGCAGACAAGAAATCCTCCGGTTCTCACCGATGCCCCGCTCTAAGCTAAGCATTTTTTCCACTTCTCTCCAGAGAAATGCAACTCCTATTTTGGAAAACCACACATTTTGTCTAATCTTTTACGCAGTTCAAATTCCACGGGGTGCCTGGGTGGCGCAGTCAGTTGAGTGTCTGACTTTGGCCCAGGTCATGATCTCGGGGTCCTGGGATCCAGCCCCGCGCAGGGCCCCAGGGCGAGCTCTGCGCTCAGCGGGGAGCCTGCTTCTCCCTCTCCCTCTGCTCTGCTCTCTGCTCATGCTCACTCTCTCAGTAAATCCTTATTCAGCCCCAAATCTCTGAAGGACAACATCCCTTGCTTCTTCTACTCTCTGCTGGCTGCCTGCTGGCCCGGGTGCTTCTCTGCTCATAGCTACACCCCTGCAGTCTCTCCTCCTCCCTCACCTGCGCTGCTCCCTGTGTCTGTGGCTTCTTTTCCCGTCTTCCGTAAGGACGGCTGGTGTTGCATTCATGGCCCATTCTATCCGGGAGTGTCTCGGGATCCCTGCCTTAATTACATCTGTGAAGACCCTTTATCCAAATAAAGTCCCATCAGAGGTTCTGGGTGGACATATCCTTTTGGGGGGACCACGATCTAACCCATCACAGGACATTACCCAGCCAGCCTGAGGCTTGGTTGGGAGCCTCTCCCAAACTCCAGAGCCAGTGCATCCCACCTCCAGATGGCCAGAGCCCCTCCCCCAGGCCCACTGAGGCCCCCCCCCCCATCATCTCAAACCCATCTTCCTCTCTGCTTTGAGAGGCCTGCCCCGTAGCAGGGGTCCCTTTGTAAACGTCTCCTCATTTCCTGGAGTTCAGAGTTGTTGGGGTCTGGGACCCCACCCTGACGCATACCCTACCCCATCCTTCCACCTGTCTGCCCTTGAACCTGCCTGCCCAAACAGACTTCTGCAGCAATGTCCAAGCAACTATGCTTACTTCCACATGAGGGCATTTAGGATATCTCTCCCTTCCCTGTCCTTTTTTTTTTTTTTTTTTTTTACTGCTTTGACTTTTTTGTTGTTATGGTTAGATTACCACTTTTACAAACTGAGAAGCTCTTTTTTTTTTTTTTAAGATTTTATTAACTTGACAGCAAGAGAGCACAAGCAGGGGGAGTTGCAGGCAGAGGGAGAGGGAGAAGCAGGCTCCCGGCTGAACCAGAAACACTCAGTGCCGGGCTCGATCCCAGAACTCTGGGATCATGGCCCAAAGCCGGAGGCAGAGGCTTAACCTGCTGAGCCACCCATGCCCCTGAGAAGTGTTTTTTTAACCTATAAGTTTACAAAGGATATGAAAGTGTATGCCCTCAGGGTCAAAACAGGCTGGGAGGTGGGTCCCTCTTCCTTTGTTGGAGGAGAGCCATGGCGTCGTCCTCCTTGTTTAAAGTCCTTTGAAGACACGAAGTCCATTTGACGGAAGCACCGCGCCTGTAGACACGTTAGCCAAAGGAATGCTTAGGAGCAGGTGCTGAGATTTATAAAAATTTCCCCAAAGATGTCGTGTTTTGTTGTTTTTTAGTAGGCTGTACGCCCAGTGTGGAGCGAGCTCGAAGCTGGAACCCACGACCCCGAGATCAAGACCTGATCTGAGATCCAGTCAGACGCTTAGCTGATGGAACCGCACAGGGGTCCCAGACGTTGGTCAACAACCCAGACGTCCAACATGAAGAAATTAGTTCAAAGTTCGGTTCTGGTGATCTTTTTTTTTTTTTTTTTTTTAAGATTTTATTTATTTATTTGACAGAGAGAGATCGCAAGAGAGGCAGGCAGAGAGAGAGGAAGGGAAGCAGGCTCCCCGCTGAGCAGAGACCCTGATGCGGGGCTCGATCCCAGGACCCTGAGATCCTGACCTGAGCCGAAGGCAGAGGCTTAACCCACTAAGCCCCCCAGGCACCCCTCGGTTCTGGTGATCTTGAAGGGTTTCTTCTTTATGCTCCTTTTGTGGACTTGTATATCCTAAGGAGGACGCGTTGATTTTAGAATCACCATCTTGAGGGTATTTGGACATTGCAAGTAGGTCTGTCCCCCACGCAGGGTACGTGCAGAGTCTCCAGGTGACCGTCCGCTTCTCACATGCGAAGGGGCACAGCCTGCTCCGTGGGTGCCTGGCTCTGTACCTGGCCTCGGACTCTGAAAGGGAGACACCTCCTGAGGGTGGAGGGAAGGGATCCCGCAGACACAGAACGGGGCTAATGGCAATGGGGACGCATGGGGCAGGGGCGGGGTCCTCATCCCATACAAATAAGTATGGGGACAGAAACATTGCTTCAGGCCCCCAAGTCACCTGCATGTTCAGCTACCTGCTTATTTAGCAAACAGGCAGTGGGGGACCAAGCCCCAGAGCCCTGGCCTGCCTTCTAGAAGAGCCCCTGTGCAGCTCCGGCTCAGCAGTGCCCCCTTGTGTCAGAGGGCGCACATGGCAGAGACAGGTGCTGAAAGCCCCGAGAGCTTATGGAAGGAAAATCCACCCCAGGAGATGCAGGGTAGCAGGTCAGGGGCTCCTAGGAGAGGGAGGGACTCAGGGGACTGCCAGGACCCAGCTTGGCCCTGGAGACATGGGGCAGCGTCTTACAGGTCTCTTGTGAAATTCCCCCCAAGACAAGGGTTTCATGATCAGGTCAGTTTGGGGAATGCTGGCTAATTTTGGCTCTTGGGTTTGCTGCCCTCACCCCTAATGCCACTGACTGCCTTTTTTCCCTCTTCTTTCCAGTAGAAATGGGACATTGACACCGTATTTCTGCTGTTTTGGCATCTCTTGTTTGTTCTTTCTTGCGTCCGCTGCCTCCTCTGGCCTCATCCTTGGGCACCACTTCTAGGAACTGCTTCTTCCGATTCCTCCCAGGAATTTCAGGTTTCAGTCCCCCAGTGATGACACCGGTCCCACCGGGGCAATCCAAGACAACTCCCCATGTCACACCGCTGGCTCAGCCATGTCTGCAGAGTGTCTTTTGCCACCTAGAGTGACACACTCAGTCTCCGGAGATTAGGACGTTGACATCCTTGGGCTCCATTCTGGTCCCTGCCACAGGGACCTCCCTGGGGAAGGGCAGGCGGGAGGTCCCCTTCATCAGCCATCCCGCCTGAGAATGACATCACGTTGCCCTCCCCCTTGACTGGTTGTTAGCGGATCTAGAATTCAAAACCCACGCACGTAACTTTGTCTCCGATCTCTGAAGACCCTGTAGCACCAGCTTCTCGCTCTTGTTCCAGAATCTTGGTAGCTGTTCTATTGTTGCTGATAGCGGCGGTCCTGGCGTTTGTCCTTGCAAGTGGCAGGCAGGTGGCTTGAAAGTGCATCAGCAGATCCTCCTCCATAAGCCTGAGAAAATGTCACCTGTCCACACACCCAACCAACTGGATTCTTGTTTGGTCTTTAAATGCACTTACTGGCTTTGTTTTCTGATTACAACACGATAGGAAAGGGGTAGGGAAGGAAATCTGGAAAAGGCTTAAAAGGATGGTAAGCGCCTAGACGGCTATCACCCAGGGGTGACAAGTGTGGACACTCCGGTGTGTCCCTAGTTGCACCCGACTCTCCACATGCTATGAAATGCACGAAGCTCTGGACTGTGGTTATGCATAGAACCCATCCAAAATACTTCCGTTTCTCCATAGTTACTCTTTTTTAATTTTATTTATTTATTAGAGAGAGAGAGAACAAGTAGGCAGAGAGGCAGGGGGAGACAAAGGGGGAAGTAGACTCCCCGCTGAGCAGAGAGCCTGATGCGGGGCTCGATCCCAGGACCCTGAGATCATGACCTGAGTCAAAGGCAGAGGCTTAACCCGCTGAGCCACCCAGGCAGCCCAACTCTGTAATTATTCTTGTTTGCATAAGGGAAGTAGTAAATCTTAGTGGCTACCTAAAATATCTGCTCTGGCTTCTACAACTTTCTGGAGAATAAGAAAAAGGAAAAGAAAAAATACATTGGTGGTATCACCCATAATAGGAGTGAAAAATCATGATGAGTGTCATAAGCTAACATTTGCTCTATGAAAACTATGTTCAGAAAGTCTGGACTCCAGGGGCTCCTGGGGGGCTCAGGCAACCAAGTTAAGCGTTTGACTCCCGATCTCAGAGTTGTGAGTTCAAGCCCCACACTGGACTCCACACTGGTCGTGGAGCCTACAGAAAAAAGAAAAAGAAAAGAGAGCGAAAAGAAAAAATGATACAAGAAAAAAACTTTGACTCCAAGCTGAAGATGTCCTTAAAGGTGAAAGTTGCGGGTTTAATTGTCTCCATGAACTGACCACAAGGGAAGGCCCCCTCTCGGTTGACACTGGCTGGCAGGAAAGCACACGATAGGACAGTGGTCACTTACGGTCTGGGCGACCCCCCTCACCCAGCCTCCAACTTCTTCACCAGACAGGACTCCCATGTCCCCACTACGCATGTCCTCCCCAGCAGTCAGAGTGACTTGAGGTGTCCACAGCAGAGCGGCATGCTGAACCACCTGTGGGGGGACAAGCAATTCCAATGGCCACCACGTCAGGCCCACTGGTCAGTGACAGGGTCCCAACATCAGCTTGGAGGTTGCTGGACCACGCATGCCCAGGCGCACAAGGCCTCTCTCTGCGGCAGGGTCGTGTCTTCCCCGGAAGACAGCTGGGAACGGGGATGCTGCAGGGGGTAGGGACGGGTGCGTGGAGTGATGAGCCCGAGTTACCCACCTCAAGCTGCTGATTCCCTTCCCAGGATGGCTGAGACCTCTCACCATTTCCGGCCTATCTCAGGAGAGCAAAGGCAGGGGACACTACGGGGTGAGTAAACCAGGGACCCAACACTGCCCCACGATGACCCCCGGGGTGCAGTGTCGACGGTCCCCTGGAGCTCCCTTCCACCCTGGGCCCGGAAACATCCAGTGTGGCCTGCGCCACATGAAGGGGTGGCGGGGGGCCGTGGCTAGACCTCCCGGAGCCCATCACTGATTTCGGGGGCGGTGGTGGGGCATCTCCACCGTGAAGGGCATAGGGCTGCATGGTCATGGCTGGGCCACGCGGGCTCCGGGACCGCCCACGTGGGAAGGTATGGTCAAGGCCACTTAGTGACAAATGGAGAGCTGGGAGGAAGGACTGTAAGGACGTGATGAGCAGGATGATAGAGTGGAAGGAGCAAGGTTTTGGCTGAGGCCTGGAGAACAACAGGGCTCAACCAGGGAAAGGGGGAACATTCTAGACCAAAGGAAGGGTACCTGCAAGGACCCCAAGTCAGGTCAGAGCCGGTCACACAGGTGCCATGTAATAATAGCACGGTGGGGAGTCTCGAGAGGGGTGAGGGGCGACAGGAGGTGGCAGGGTCCCTGCAGGGGTGGGGTGCCCCGCCGGCCAGGAGCCCAGGGAAGCCACAGGCCCTGCTGCGTGTGGAGGGGAGCTCCTCCCGCTGCAGGGGAGGGCAGGAAGGAAACAGAAACCGGGGCCTGCACATGACACAGTAGCCGCCTCTGAGTGAGCTGGTGAGACAGGGCGCGGGCTGGGGGCCTCCTGCCCAGTGGGGAGGACTTTGGTCTTGTTTGTGGCAGCCCACCAGCGTTCGACCACTCCCCATTTGGGGAAGCGAACCCCCTTCCCGTCTCCCAGGATCATAGGTGAGCCGGGAGGTTGGCTTTGCCGACACCGAGTGCCGCCGTGATTTCTCACAGGCCCCAGGGGGACTGTGTCTCAGTTGTCCACAGCGGGACCCTCCCCACTGGGGCTTCCTGGGATTACCTCCCAAATCAGCTTCCTGCACTCCAGTCCTGGTCCCAGGTCAGCCTCGGGGAAAGAGGTCAGACCAGGAGTGTCTGTCGTGTGTGGTGGGGGGCCTGAGCACCAGGGGGTTCAGGACGTTTCCTCCCGGCAACCCCCTTCGTCTCCCCAGGGGCTACTAATGTCCTCCCAGCAATTACCTTTCTGACTGATCTAACCAGAGGGGTCCTATGATTTGCCCCCCAAACCCAAAGAGTGCAGACACCTGCAGCAGGATTCAGGAGTGGGGGCGTGCTGCTGGGGTGACTGGGAGGGTGTCCGGGGAGCCCCCCGGGCCACAGAGGGCTCTCCAAGGCATAGACTCCATCATGCAAACGTGTTTATTAGCAGAGGGACAGTGGGGGATGGGACCTGGCATAGCAGAGGGCCCCAACTCCCAGGCGCTCTGGTGTGCTCAGGCCATCTGCAGGGGGGAGGCCAGCATGAGCAGAGCCAGGAGCAGCAGCTGCAGGGGCGGGGCTGGCCTGGGAGCTCCACTGTGAGCCAACAGCTTCTGCATCCATTTGAAGTGCCTACTGACGTTGGTGTAGACTCCAGGCCGGTTGGGTCTCCCGCAGCCCGACCCCCAGCTCACGATTCCAACCTGAATCCACAGCCCTTTCTTTTCGCAGGCCAAGGGTCCGCCTGAGTCACCCTGGGGAGCAGCGTGGGAGAGCCAGGCGTTGGGGGTGGGGGGGCAGGGGGCCAGTGGAGAGGCGGGGACAGAAGGAGGGGCTGTGGAGGTGGGCAGACTGGGTGCAAACCCCATGCCCCACCCCGGAAGTGAACAAGCCTCAGTTTCTGCATCTGCAAAGTGGGGCCATGGTCTCTACCCTCTGAGGGGGACACAAGAACCAAATGAGGTACAGGGCTATGGGTGGCTCTCAAGCCTGGGGCTGGGGTGGTGGCCTGCCAGGCCCCAGACGCCCCTGGTTGGGCTGGGAAGGGACACTCACAAAGCAGGCGTCCTTGCCACCTTGCATAGTGCCGGCACAGATCATGTCTCCCCATATGTCATAGCGGAAAACAGGCTGCGCGTAGAGGTAGTTACAGATGGCACTGTTTATGATGCCGACCTGCACTTCCTGCAGGACGTAGGGGGACGGCAGCTCTGGGGGGAGGGGGAGACAAAGATGGCACCCTGAGCCTCTCCTCTGCCATCTGGGCAGGAGGACTGGCCCAGGCTACCGGGTAGGGGAGAGGGTCCCTGGGCCAGCACGCAGCCCACTGTGGGCGACGGCAGGCGGCCAGAGCCCCTTCCCGACACGCAGCTTCCCCTCCGCAGCAGGCAGAGAGCAGCGCCTCGGTGGCGGTGGCGGTGGCGCAGGCGGCCAGCAGCCCAGGGGGCGGAGCCGACACAGCTGAGCCTCGGCAGGGGGCGGTCAGGCCATGCGAGCAGGTGGGCCAGCCCGTGGCCTCCCCTCGTGGCCTCCCCTCCTCACACAGCCCCAGGCTTCCAGAACAGCGGGAGCTCTCTGGCCTCCTGGCGCCCTCATGGGACACAGCACCACCATGACCCTCGTTCAGGTGAGGGAAGACGCAGAGGGAAGACTGCCCACCCCCAACCCACACCCCACCACCCCGCCGCCCCCGCAGAGCACCGAGGGGAGCCTGAGCTAGCTGTGAACCCAAACTGGTGCAGTTCCGCAGTCTAGGCCCAGGCCAGCAGCCGAGCCAGGGGACAGCCACAGGGCTGACACGAGAGCGGCCGAGTCGGGGTGGCCTCCTGTCGGCCACGCCCCCGCCTGGGCCCTTCTGTATGAGGTTTCAAAGCTCTGAGCCACCTCAGCAGGTGCGAGCTCCGCTGACCCCGTTCCACGTGAGGCGGCCGAGGTCTCCCACCTGGCACGTGGCTGAGCTGGGCTTGACACCTGCAAGATGGTGGGGTCCAGAAGCCCCCTCCTACCTGCCGGGAGGAAGGGGGAGCCTGGGCCTGGTCGGGACTACCTGTCTGCCCGGGGTCGGGGAGTCTGGGGACTGGGCCACTTGGCTCACACCCGCTCGGCGCTTTGGGCCAGGGGAGGTCTGCAGGGACACTCATCCAGGACCCCAGCTCTCGAGGAAGGTGGGGCCGGCGGTGGGTACTCTAAGCCCCTCCACCCCCTGCCAATTCCAGATGTGTGACCTTACGGACACATGACCCTCTCGGCCAGTGAACCCCAGCTTCTCCACTGACTCCTTCTGGGGCCTTAGGGCCATTTCCCTACCTCTTTCACTTCCCTCATCTGTAAAGCAGGTATAAAAATGTTCCAGCCTCACTCATAGGTAAGGTCCAGAAGGGAGAGAGACCTCTCCCTGCTCATTCCTCAGTCTCGAGAGCCTAGAACAGGGCCAGGTGCACAGCAGGGACGCCAGGAGCTCTGTGTGTTGCTGCTGCTGTGGGAAGGGTGCTGCGGGAACGGGCCGGGCCGGGGAGCTGTGTATGGGGCAGTCCGGGCCCAGGGCCCCTCTGGGGAGACTGTGCCCAGCAGTTTTGGGGAACTCATGGTGAGAGGTATGCAGGAGGCACTTCACGCCGGCTCGAGGACCCCCGGAGAGTTGGGTGGGAAGCCGAGGATTGTGGATGGCTTGAAACTGCAAGAGGAGACTCACGGGCTCAGGGCTCCAGGCAAGGAAGCAAGGCAGGGAGATGGAGAAGGTGTGGGAGAGCCAGGGTGGGGATGGCTGGGTGCTGGCTGGCATCCATGCCGACGTGGAAAGAGTGCTTGGCTAAATCATTCGATGCCCGAGGCCGCCTGAGGCCCTCCCACAACCCCAACACCCCTGCCGTCTGGGGGATGCAGGCCCGACCCAGCTGGCCTCCCTCTCATTGCAGCTTCTGGCTCACAGTCTCTGGAAGGGAGAAGGAAGCTGGTGTGAGGACAGGAAGTCTGTCCTTTCAGGGGAAGCAGGAGGGACGGCAGGTGATGAGACAAGTGCCGAGCGGCCCCAGGAGGGACCCAGCTGCACCCAGACCTAGGTGCGGACAGAACAGATGGTGGGGCGTGAGGCTCCCCCCGCCCCAGGCCCCTGCCCACAGCCCTACCCTGTTCTTCTTCGATGTCCCCCCAGCCAGTCACCCAGCAGTCGGTCCGGTTCTGGAACTCAGAGGAGGAGGTCAGAACACAGATGGGCTGGATGTACTTATTGTAGGTGACGGAGGAGGACAGCTTCAGCAGGGCGATGTCATAGGACGAAGCCCCCAGATACAGAGGGCTCAGAATGATCTCTTCCACATTGTACCGGTTGTAGTAGGCCTGCAGGTTCCAGATAGACGGTGAGGAAGACAGCTCGCCGAACTGGACGGACCACTCGAACGGATCACTGTGGCTGGCAGGGACGAGAGAGCAGGCAGGGTCTTCAGAGGAGGCCCGGCCCCTGAGCACACCTGATGTCTTGGGCCGGGACGGGGGTGGGGAAGCAGGATGCCTCCCCCAGGGCCTGGTCTGGCCACTCAGCCGGCCGGTCACCTCCCGCAGCCGTCCTAGAACAGTGAACAGATGCACAGGACCAGGGCGGGTGGAGAACTCGACCACCGTCCTCGCCACAGGACAGGCCCAGCACTTACCCACCGCCTCCCACCCCCAGTACACCTCCACCTGGACCTGGGATGAGGAAGGGGACGCCTGGTGCTGTCATTTGGGAAGAAAAGAAGACAGAAAAGAACACGACACAAAAGTGCTTGTGAATGCTCTGAAGAACATTCTAGAAGAAGGGGAACAGGGTTTGCCTCACGTGCCTGCAGCCCAGCCTGGAGCTCAGGAGAACAGGCAGGCCATATCCGCACCCAAAGGGCGCATGATCCGGCCCGCCTGCCCCAGACTCACTCTTCAAAGCAGTGCGCGGCCGTGAGCACCCAGCGGCGGTTGAGCAGACTCGCTCCGCAGCGGTGGGAGCCCCACAGGCGCAGGCTGCCCTGCCACGGCCAGCGCCCCAGCTCCGAGTCCTTTCCGCCCACGATGCGCGTCGGAACGGTTCGTTGGCCGCAGGGCCCTGGGACGGACAGAGGGACACCGGGCTGAGCTGCAGGACCCCGCCCGCCCGCGCGAAGGGAAGGGGCTCCCGGGCAACAAGGGCGGGCGCACGTCGGGGACCCGCCGCAGGGGGGCCGGGGGAGCCCGGGACCCTCCCCACGAGGTCCGCGGGCGCCCGCCCCTCCCCCCAGGGGCCCGGCAGTTACACGTGAGCAACGATGAGTTCTCGAAACCTGGGTGGGGGGAGAGGAGAAGATGAGGCGCCGTCTGCGCTCCGGCTCCGCGGCCCGCGCGGGGAAGCGCGCGTCCTGGGCGTCTTACCTGCAAACAACTGGTCCTCTTCCTCCAACTCTGGGGGGCGGGCGGGGGGAGGGGGACGGGTGAGCTCCGCCCGGTCTGTACAGGCCCCACCCCACCCCCGCCCCCAGCCCTTGGGCTGCCGGTACCCCTGCCTGAGCTCACCCTGCGCCCCGAGCTCCGCTCGCACCAGCAGCTGCGCCAGAAGCAGCGCCCCGACGCGCGCGTCCATGGCCTCCTCTCCCGCCGCGTGGCGCCCCCTCTGCTTCCGCCCGCTTGGGGGCCTGGCCCAGGCGCCCCCTGGGGGAGAGGGAGCGCCCGCCACCCCGGCCCCCACCTCCCGGCCCCCGCCCCCTCGGACATCTCCGGGAGGGAGGGGCCCGTGGTCCGGTAACCTCGGGCCTCCTGGCGCAGGGCTCGGAGCCCCAAATTGGGCTGGGTCCAATTTGCACCCGCGCGCAGTTCTGCTTGTCGGCGACCCTGGGGTCCTGGCCACCCCCCCAGTTTCCCCCGTTCCTCCAGCCACCCCCTCCTCTGGGAAGGTCCGCGTCGGGCCCAGGGCCAGGACTCCCGTGAGAACACGTTGACACATGCTCCCTGAGCGCCGTCGGGGGCCTGGCAGTAAGGGGCTGAGCCAAGAAGAGAAGATCCCTTTCTTCCTTTCTTGGGGGAAATGGTAGTCTCGGGTCTTGTCAAGCCCTGAGCCCACTCCAGGCCAGTAGCTGGCAAGGCAGGCCGCAGCCCTCCTCATCCTCCTTCAGTTTACATTTTGGAGGTTGAAACCACCTTTACCAAACTTACTTTCTTGCACAGGGTCCTTGGGGGAGTGAAATGGCCTAAATGAGAGAGACACCGGGAGGTTATCCATCTCGGCGTCCCTGTGACCAGTGACTGTCCCAGTGGGGCTTCCGGGAGGGCTGTGACTTCTTAGTGTCCTTGTCTGTGTCCTGAGCGCTATTGGGCATGTGGTGGTATAGGCAAAGTTGTGAGTTTCCCCGCATCAGCTTCTGGGGTCCTTCCAGGCAGGGGAGCCAGTCTGGACTGGCAGGGGTGTCCCGAGGTGTCCACTCTGTGGGAGCCTTACGGGTGGGCCAAGCCCCACAACACACTCAGCTGGGCCTGGGCAATGAGTGGCCAAGGGATCAGGTGCTGGAGGCAGGAGCCTGGGCTCCCCTACCTGCATGAGCAGGAGAGTTCCGCACGGTGCCCTCAATGCAGGCACACTGAGGGGGACACCAGTGAGAGACACTGGATGCTTGATGACCCTGGAACCTTCTCCAGGTATTGAAGCTGGCCTGTCACCAGACCCCCTTGACTTTGCACCCTGGTGTGCCCCCCACCAAATCACCTGCAGAGTGAGAGGTGGTGGGCACTGGCTCAGCCAGGTGGACTCAGGGACTGAACAGGTCCCTGTTGGAGGCCGTTGCTAGGTGGGACTGGGGCCCCAGGCATGGCAAGGGGGCAAGATTTTCCCTACGACAGTCCCCCTCTGTGGCCCTTGGCACCACAGCACCATAACTGGCCAGTCTCCTGCGAGTTCCCCACGGCAGGGGCCCGTGTGGCATGCTGTGCCCGCGCCTGCCTGCTGGAGCTGCACAGAGAGCCCAGGCCGTCCCTTCTCTGCTGCAGCCCAAAAGATCGCTTCCGCCGCAGGTCCAGGCTCGCCCAGGGCCCTCCTACCTCTGAATCCCTCCCCTCCCCAGCTGTCTTTTCCTAGTGCACCCCGAGCTTGCTCCAGCCTGGGATAACCTCTCCCTGCAGACTTCAGATCTTGGTGCCACAGCAAGCTCCATGTCCCCCTCCTGCTCCCCAACTGTCTCACTGCTCCCCTGTACTTCGTAGAAGTTAGCGATATCCAAAAGGATCTTGTTTGGTCACGTGTGCATCTGGCTGTCAGCCTCCAGGACCTCTGTGTGACAGGCTTGATGTATGTGGACTTGAAGGGTTGACGGAGAGCCAAGGGAAGGAGGGTTGGAAGGAGAAAAGGTAGAAAAGGAAGGATGTGGATTGGCAGAGAGTCTCCCGGGTTGGAGGGGCCCTGGCTCTCGAGGTCCCTGTTGTTGCCTCCCTGAGGGCCTCCAGGTCTCCTGGCCTGGGAGGAGTGGTGTGGAGGAGCACAGGGGAGACATCAGTGGCCCAGGAGTGGCCCTGACCATGGGCTTCATCAGGTGTCCCCTTGGAGCTCCTTGGGGGCTGTCAGCTCCTGGGGATGGAGAGGCAGGGTGTGCAAGGCTCAGGTCACTGAGACCCCCTTGGTAGGTGAGGCGATAGCCTGTCCTCCTCTCGCTCCCTCATGTACACTGTCACGTTCGGCTGCCACCCCAGGAGGTGCCTCCAGGGGAAGCGCCTGGAGTAGACGGGCAGCAGCAGCCAGAGTTCGTGTCTGTTGTTCATATGCACAAGGGACTCACATTCGTCCCTGGGGTGCCTGGCTGACACGTGTTGGAAACGCGTGTGGGGCCTCGGGGGTGTAGTCACTGCAGCCGTGACCCTGGTGGTCAGCCCATAGTTGTGGTCTGGGCCCCAGATGATCCTGGAGATCTAACATGGGCTCCCTCTCCCCCAGGGCGGGCCGCGCAAGGGGGCCTGCTCTGACACCTGTGGCTCAGTGCTCAGGCCATCCCTCGCCGCAGCCCCCCATCCTACCTGCATGGCTGCTCCCCCTCCCGGAGAGGCCCAGCGCTGGGGATGGGGGCAGCTCCCTGGCTATGTGGCCATCGGGAGACAGCCCTGATGGGGACCCAGAGGCCCTGTGCGTGCAGAGAAGTCTCCAGAGAGGGGAGCATGGGGTTCCGGTGGGCTCAGCAGCAGGGACTGGGGACGCTGTGGAGAAAGGGCTGGAGGGGTAATTGGGGGCTCCAGAGAGTGAAGGGGTCTCAGCTTGCTGCTCGGGGGCAGAGGGGGCCACTGAAGGATGGGACCACTCGGCTCACCTGTGCATGGGAGAGCCAGGCATAGGCCAGGGTGGGGGCTGTCCCAGGACGGGGGTTGAAACTCCTACCAGCACAGGCTCAGGTTGCCCTCATCTCCTCCCAGCTCCTGCCCAGATATAAACCCAGCCCCCCTCAGCCTCAGTTTCCATGTCTGAAGAACTGGAAATAAGAGTAACATGCACCTCTCAGGGCTGCTGTGAGCACCCAGCAGCACCCTGGTGTGAGAGCTCCCGCAAGTGGGAGCTGCCTTCCCGGACACTCTCTGGGGCCCGGAGGCTCAGGGAGGAAGGGCCTTCTGCCTGCCGGCTTCTCTTTATTGCCTTTCAGACAAGACAGGCCTGCAAAGGCACCCGCCCTGTGCTGGGGGCTGGAAACCCCAGTGCCACAAGTCCCCCAAGCGGCCAGAGGAATCCCAGAGTGTGTGTGCGCCCTGGGACTCAGACCTGGATGGACGGTGGTGGAAGGGGGCCTTCCTGGGAGGGCTCTGGGAGGGGTTTCCAGACAGATGCCGCAGACCCCAGAGAAAGGGCCTGAGTTTCCACAGCAGAGGCTGAGTCTGCAGGGCTGGCTGCCTGGTTAGGCCAGCCTCAGGGAGGCAAACGTGTCCCCCAGCAGCCCCAGAACCAGCAGCACGGGCGGGAAGAAGAGCCCAGCAAGACGTGGAGAAGAGTTTTCGGTGTGTAGGTCCGAGCCCGGGATGGTGCTGGCAATCCACGTGGCGTACGTGCTGACGTTGATGTAGACTCCTGGCCTTTTAGGAAGTCCGCAGGCAAAGCCCCAGCTTACCACGCCTGCCTGGACCCAGACTCCACCAACGTCACAGACCAGGGGTCCCCCGGAGTCGCCCTAGGGACAAAGGAGGAGTCCAGAAGTGTAGGGACTGCGAGGGGGAAGGAAGTTCCCAGGGATCTCCCTGGGCCCACCAACCTCCCTTCAGCTCGGCTAGCTAGGTCTGGTGGACTGAGGATCGGCAGGCTGGATGTTTCTGGAAGGCAGCAGAGGTCTGGGAATTCTGGGCAAACTGTCTGGCAGGTGGGAGAAGCAGTGGCACGGGAATGCCGCGTTCTCCAGATACAACTGTGCATGTCAGGGTAGGGGCTCAGGGGGCACTTTCGTGTTGCTAAGAATGCTGTTTGCTTCGTTTGGGATGAAAAAAAATCTGTGATAAAACAATGCTAAGAGGGAGTGTGAGATAACGTGCCTTTCGCCTGTGAAAGCAGACAAGGAAAGACAGTAACAACCCAGCCCAGAAGTCACCTGGTCCTGGGGGCCATCAGCTCAGAGGCCTTGAAGTTCTTTTTGGGAAAGAAAAAAAGATCGTTCTGGGCCCCAAAGAAGAGCTATAGGAATAAGGATAGGGTCACCGTTTGCTTGAACGCTTTTCAAGTATTTCATTTCTGATAAAACCGATACGATACATTTAAAGGGAGACAGCGGGGAGAGAACATGATTTCTATTGGAATTGACTCTGGTATTTAAAGCAACGTTGCCCTCCTCCACCCTGAGGGTGCAGGGGAGTGGGAGATCCTGCGGCCCGCCCCCCCTCCCGGAGGGCGCTTGCTTACCCCACAGGCGTCTTTCTGGCCACTCTCGAAGCCGGCACAGAGCATGTCCTCGAGGATGATGGGCTCCTGGATGGGGGTGTCCGAGTTCTCGTGGTAGTAGCCGTCACAGGTCGGGGCATCGATGAGGGGCAGGGACAGCTCCTTCAGGGTGAAGGGCGGGGGCAGCGCTGGGGTGGGGAGCAGAGCAGGGCTCAGATGGGGTTGACTGTCCACCGGCTCTCACCGGCCCATCCCTGCTGCCCCGTGCACAGCGGGACCGAGGACAAGAAGCCTGTTCTTGTCATTTCAGCATTCCACTGCTCTGCCTCTCCAGGACCCTGGGCCTGCACTGGTGTCCGGGAGTCCCTGACCCACGAGCCTGGGTGCCAAGGTGAGCCTGCGTTGAATATTCAAAGCACAAGGAAGAACCGTTCCCTTCCTCCCTCTGGCGGGGCATGCACAGACGTGCGGAGCTCCCCTTGGGCTTGGCTGCCCTCCCAGTGCCCAGGCCAGGGCAGGATTGGGGGGGCGGGCTGGGGACACACTGGGGTGCTAGCCAAGAGCCAAGACCCAGTGTTAGGGCCTGGCCCTGGACACAAAGTGTAGTCAAGTCACTTCCACCAGATGACCCGACTGTTCGTGGCTCTCCAAGGCTCTGGCCAAAAACGGGTTGACGTGCGCCCCTCAAAAACTCAAGCCCACCCCGCACCACAGAATGGGAGCTTTGGTGGAAATAGGGGCTTTGCAGATTAATTCGTTAAGATGAAGCCATATGGGATCCAGCAGGACAGAAAAGGAGGGGACACGTAGGGGCACACAGAAGAGAGGCCATGTGAATATGGGGATAGGCAGGGGCACGCAGCCACCAGCCGAGGGACACAAAGCATCACCAGGAGCCACCAGAAGCCAGAAGGAGCAGGAAGGGTCCTCCCTTGGAGCTTCCAGAGGGAGCCCGGCCCTGCCAACACCCTGAATTCAGCCTCGTGCCATCCTGAACCGTGAGAGCTTACATTTCAATGGTTTGAACCCCCACCCCAGCCTGTGCTGGTTTGTCGTGGTGGCCCAGGACACCGATGAGCGGTGATCGTGCTAACAGTGACCACGATGGCCCCGCCACACTGTGGACCTTGCTTCTGTCCTGCCCTGTGGGACATGCCTGACATGTATCATCCCCTGAAGGCTCTGCTTCTCTGAGGGGGCAGCCACAGCCCAGCGAGGCGGCCGGTGAGGTCACTCAGCCAGGGCAAAGGCCAGGAAGTCTGGCCCCAGTTCCTGTGCCGCGAGGATGACGGTGGAGGTGGGGGACGTGCATCGCATTCTCCAACCAGTATGGGGCGCGTCAGAAGGGCCTGGGCCCCAGTCTGGGCCAGCATTCATCCTTGGGGTGTCGTGTGCTGGGAGGGCAGCCTGGGGAGCCTGAGGGAGGGTCTGGGGTGGCAGGCTGCTTGTCCACGCTCGGGGCCGTATTTCCGGGGCTGCCCTCTGCCACGCGCACAACAGTGTGTGCGGACTCCATGGCCACCCTTTATGGGGCTCCTCCCCGCCTGGGCGTCCTTACGTATACTCAAGTCGATGTTCCCCCAGCCGGTGACCCAGCACCAGGTGCCATGATCCAGGGGGTCTCCGGGTTTGGGAAGACAGACCGGAAGGATGAGGTCACTGTAGGTGACAGGGGAGGCCAGCTGCACCAGGGCGATGTCCGCTCTGCTGGTCTCCTGCAAGTACTCTGGGTGGATGATGAGTTCAGCCACCGCTCGGAGCTCCTGGGGCTCCTCGGCCTGGGGGTAGGAGGAGATGGAGCCCAGCAGCACAGAGTAGGCAGACAGCGGCTGCTTCCTGGAGGTGAGAGAGTCCGGGGGGGTGAGGGGTGGTGTCAGGAAAGCTGTGCCGGGTTTCACCGATCGGGGGAAGGGACCATCTTGATTTGAGGGTCCTGACATTATAGACAGCTTTGCAAGCAGAGCACATGCCAGAAACGAAAAGGACCCTGTTTACTTCTCAAGACATCCCTGCACAGACCCCAGCAGCCCGTCCATCCGGTGAGTGTGAATCAGGCTTGAGAGGCGGTCACCTGTCCACGTGCCGTCCAGATGCTGGGCAGTGGACTGGAGGCCTCAGCTTCTCGAGAGATCCCCATATGGGAGCCTTTGGTCTCTGGGAAATGAATCATCTCACCAGGGATGGAGAGCCGGGCGGGGTCTGTCCCCTCCCCCACTCTCCCCAGGGCCGGCCCCAGGACAGGGGCCATCCTGGCGGATAAGTGATGCTCCAGAAGGATGTTCCTTCACACAGCTCCAGATGCGTGGAAGGCTGTGGTTCAAATGGGGAAGGGAGGGTGTCGGGGAGCACGACCCCCAGCTCAGAGCCGTGCCCCCTGGAGGTACTCACTGGTCGAAGCAGTGGGCCGCAGTCAGCACCCAGGCCTCAGCGATCAGGGTGCCCCCGCACACATGCTGTCCCTCCTCCCTCAGGCTGGCCTGCCACGGCCACTCGCCCAGCGTGGCGTCCTGCCCCGACAGGATGCGGCCTGACACGTGTGGGCGTCCACACTCTGCAAAGGGAGCCATGGGCCGGCTAGGCGTGATCCCGCCTGGGATCCCCTGGCCCCCCAGACCTGCCCTCGCCAATCCCTGCCACTCACGGGTTGGCACCTGGTCCCTCCCAGCCTCCCCAAGGTGGACTTCCTTGTGATGCAGGACCCTCTGCTGGAGGGAAGGACTTGGTGGCCCTGGGAGGGCGGGGCGCACAGCCGCTGAGTCGCTGAGTCAGGGGAAGTGGGAGCTGGGGGGCTGGGTGGTTTTTTCAGGCTCAGAGGGGAGAGGGGAGTTGGGAGCCGCTGGCTCAGGGCTCCTGTCTGTGGCCCGGTGCCTGCCACTGTGCACCTGGCCGGCGGGGACGGTGAAGGGGCTGAGGTCTGGCAGGGTCTCCCAACATCAGAGTTCCTTAGAGAACATGCCCCAGCACAGGGTAGAAGGGGCAGGGAAGGAATTACACACTCCTCTTGATCTGCCCCCTGAATGCAGGACACTTTCCCGATTCCTACGTTTTATCCGTTTCTCCAGAAGGACCCATCCTTTCTGATGCCCCTGTCAACCCGGGCCCCAGGCTCACTGTCCTGCAGTGGCCGTCTCCCCACCCCAGGATCTGTCCTACCTGAATCCAGGCTTCTCGCCCAGGCACGGGTCACAGAGAGGTTGGCTGGGAGGGGAGTGCTCTGCTGGAGGGCCGTGGGGAGGAGGGCGAGCAGGGTGGCAGTAAGGGCCAGCTCCATGGTGTGCTCCAGCCCCCACTTCCGGGAGCAGAGTCCACGCACTGAGGAGCCGAAGACGACGGCAGTCTAGCTCGAGTGCTGGGCTTGCCCCGGGGTGGGGCTGCCACCTCCCCGCCTCGTCCTCGAGGCCACCAGACTGCTCCTGGGCACAGGGTCCTCGGCCACCCCCACGTCTTTGGCCAAACCCTCAGGACCCGCCCTCCCCTTCCTGCCCTGGCCCCGGCATCAGAGCACCCACCCACCCCCACCACGTCTGGGGCACCCAGCGTGTGCCAGCCCTATGTCAACCGCGCCTCTGCCTCCCGATTCCCCGGGAGCTGTCACGAGCCCCATTTTACAGCAGAGTCAGTGAGACTCCCGCGGTCGAATGACGTGACCAAGGCCCGAGAGGGGAAAAGCCAGATATTTCGACTTCGTGCTCTGCGCCGCAGTGCGGGGGGCGGAGAGGGGACTGCCAACCTCGGACACACTCCGCTCTGCTCTCTCAGCTGCTCGTTTTCACCCTGGGGCTCTGAGGGGCCTAAGGCGGGACCCAGATGCCCGAAGAGTGAGAAGAGACATTCCTCCAGGAGCCGCTGGAGAGCACAGCCCTGCCCTCCCCCCGCCTACACACATAGCGAGCTCCTGGACGGGCCCTGCCCTGCGCTGGCCTTACCTCTCTAGAGCTGCGGGCCCCGAAACCAGAGCCGAGCAGCCTGGCCCCTGGGGGGAGGAGGGGTGCAGGACACTTTCCCTGATTGCTGAGTTTTATCCATTTCTCAAGAAATACCCATCCTCCCTGATGCCCCAGGTCAGCCCAGCCTCCAGGCAGCTCCTTCTCCAAGGGGCTCATTCCCTCTGGGGGGCATGGTGGGCTTCCGAGCAGCCCCAAATACTTGATTTAGGTCCAAAGCATGTTCAGTGAGTACTCTGGTGTTGTTGCTTTTTCCATCTCCCAGATCTCTTGATTTCTGAGAAAAATGTGGATTTATTTGTATCCTGAGTATTTGGAACTTTTTTTTTTGCTTTGCGTATTTCAAAGCTCTGTTGTTGGAGGCATAATCTTGTCAGCGACTTGTAACTTGCGTCAATGTAAAATATCCCTATATTTCATTCTTAAGACTCCTAGCCCTGGGGCACCTGGGGGGGTCAGTCAATGGGGTCCCCAACTCTTGATTTTGGCTCAGGTCACGATCTCAGGATTGTGGGATTGTGCCCCAGGTCAGGCTTCAGGCTGAGCACGGAGCCTGCTTGAGATCCTCTCTCTCCCTCTCCCTCCACCCCTCCCACTCGGCTCACCAGACACCTTGACCTCAGACTTCCAGCCCACAAAGAACCATGAGAAGGAAATGCTTGTTATCTGTGACCTCCCAGCCACTTTATGGTATTTTGTCACAGCAGCCCAAGTGGATGAGGTCACCCAGCAAAGCCTTTGATTCAGAAGTGATGTCACAGTCCTCTTCCTCGGTGTGGGCTCACGCCATCCCTTGTGTCTCCTGACCTTGTGTTAGGAATGTACAGAGGAGGGTGGCAGAGAGATACCTTCCCACCGCAGCCTTCCAAGCGAGGCCAGGCACACGGCAGGGGACATGGCGGGGCTGACGGTCTGCTGACCTTCCCAGCCATCTAGAGCCCTGCCTTGTCTTTGCTCTCAACCCTTGATTTTATTTTACTTAAAACACTTTTTGCTACAGCAAAATTTAAATATACACAGATTAGAGGAGAACAGGAAACACCAAGTCGTCACCCAGCGTAGACGACTGTCCGCTGTGGGACCGACCTCGTGTGTCCCTCCCCGTCGGCACTATTTTCTGTCCTGCCATCTTCATGTATTTTTGCTCTGAGGTCTGAACAGGTTTCTCTACCTTTTCTTCAAATTTGCCGGTTCACCCTTTAGCTACATCCATTTTCTCATTCAGCCCTTGCCCCAAACGATCTCTCCCAACAGCACCTTCAAGGTCTGCCCTTTCTTGTTCTCTGCTCACTCTTTCCCTGGGTAATTCTTGTGTCCTGTTTGCCAGCACGGTGGAGGAGCTTCCTGGGGACAGCAGCTAGGATCCTCCAAGTCCTCTCCTGTCCCCTGTCATCTCTCGGTTCTCCTGGAAGGCGGTGCCGTTGATTCAAACAGATGTTTCTGGTGTGCGCATGGGCTTTCCGCGAACATTGCTTTGTCCTTGGTGGTTGTGCAGTGGTCACAGACTAGTGCCAGGCCGCCGACGCTCCCCCCAGGCACTGGCCAAAGAAAGCAGGGGCCCTCGACCAGCTACTAGGAAATCACCTCTGAGCCTCTGGAATGTCTTGCTTGACGAGAGCATCTCTGTAGACACGAGCCTTGTGCCCCTTCAGATAGTTAACGCTCATAGTGTGGCCGCCGGCAGGGTCTAGGGCCACCCTGCGCCCTCGGGACCTCTGGAGGCGCTGATGTCGCCACAGGGGCTCTGTGCTCATGGGGTGGAAGCCGGACAGTAAAACCTCCAGACCCCTGGACTCACTCACAGGCGTGTTCCCAGGGGGCAGGTCCCTGCTGGGAGAACCCAGCTCCGCCCATCGGACTCTTTGAGTCAACTTGTCAATTTCTGCTAAAAGGAGCATTGGGATTTGGAGAGGTATCGTGCATTGCTTTGGGGCGTGCTGCCATCTTCATTATGTGTCCAATCCATGGACGGGGATATAGTTCCACTTGTTTAGGTCTTTAATTCCTTTTCCCGGGGACCCTGGGTGGCTTGGTCCATTAAGTATCTGCCTTCGGCTCAGGTCATGATCCCAGGGTCCTGCGATGGAGCTCGACTTGGGGCTCCCTGCTCAGCTGGGAGCCTGCTCTCCCTCTTTCCCTCCCCCTGCTTGTGCTCTATCTCTCTCAAATAAATGAAATCCTTTTTATTTTTTTTATTTTTTTAAAAATTGTATTTATTTATTTGACAGAGAGATTACAAGTAGGCAGAGAGGCAGGCAGAGAGAGAGGAGGAAGCAGACTCCTTGCTGAGCAGAGAGTCCGATGTGGGGCTTGATCCCAGGACCCTGAGACCATGACCTGAGCTGAAGGCAGAGACTCAACCCACTGAGCCACCCAGGTGCCCCAAATGAAATCCTTTTTAAAAATTTCTTTTTTTTCTTTCTTTTCTTTTTTTTTTAAAGCTTTTTTTTTTTAAGATTTTATTTATTTATTTGACAGACAGAGATCACAAGGAGGCAGAGAGGCAGGCAGAGAGAGAGGAGGAAGCAGGCTCCCCGCTGAGCAGAGAGCCCGATGCGGGCCTCGATCCCAGGACCCTGAGATCATGACCTGAGCTGAAGGCAGCGGCTTAACCCACTGAGCCACCCAGGTGCCCCTCTTTTCTTTTTTCTTTCTTTCTTTTTTTTTTTTTTAAGAGAGAGAGAGCAAGAGAATATGCAAACTCGGTTTTTTAAAAATTTCTTTTTTTCTTTTTTTTTTTTAAGAGAGAGAAAGAGCAAGAGAACATGTAAACTGGAGGGGGGGAGCAGAGGGAGAAGGAGAGAGCGAACCTCAAGGAGACTCCATGCTGAGCACAAAGCCTGGTGCAGGGCTAGATCTCACAACCCTGAGTTCATGACCGGAGCTGAAATCAAGAGTCAGACGCCCCCCAGGTGCTTCTAGGTCTCCACGTTCTTTCAGCAACGTTTTGTAGCTTTTTTGTGCATAAGTCTTTCATCTCCTGTTAAATTTATTCCCTTTTTATTACTTCCGATGCTTTGTAAATGAAATTTCTTATTAAATTTCCTTTTAGAATTGTTCATTGGTGGTATAACAGACTCATGTCTCGATCTTGGACTCTACGATTTCACTGACTTCACTTATTAACGTAGTCCTCTTTTGTGTGTCCTTTATGATTTTCTGTATATAAAACCACATCGTCTGTGAGTAGAGGTACTGTCACCTCTTCCTTTCCAGTTTGGAGTGTTTTATTTCTTCTTCTGGGCTAACCGCCCTGACTAGAACTTTCAATAAAATGTCAAAGAGAAATGGCAAAAACTGGCCTCATTGTCGCCTTCCTGACCCCAGGGGAAAAGCTTTCAGTCTTGGACATTTGGTATGATGTTAGCTGTGGGTTTTTTACAGCCGTTTATCATGCTGAGGGAGCCCCTTCCGTTCCGTTTATAGAGGGCTTTTGTAACGAAGGAGTTTTGGGATTTTGCCAAGTGCTTTGCCCGCATCAGTTGACCCTGTGGTTTCTTCCCTTCGTTTTGTTCATGTACAAAGTCCATCGAACTGATCGATTTTCACCTGTGGAACCACGCTTTCATTCATGGGCCAGATCTCACTTGGCCATGACATACGGTTGTTCTGAGATGTGCTGGGTTCAGTCTGCTACGATTTGGTGAGGACTTGCACACAAGCATCCGTAAGTGTTATGGATCTATTGTTTCTGTCTCTCGGGATGCCTTGTCTGGGACACGGCATCACCATAATGCTAGTCCCGGGAATGAGTTAGGAAGTGCTCCTTCCTCTTCTATGTTTTGGAGGAGTTCAAGGAGGATGGGTGTTCATTTCTGCAGATGTCTGGTGGAATTCACCGTTGAAGGCCTCTGGTCCAGGCTTGTCTTTGCTGGGAAGTTCCCAGCACACATTCAGTCTTTTAATTGCTCTGTTCAGACGTTCTGTTTCTTTCTGATTCTGTTTTGGTAGTGGGTCTAAGATTTTGTACCTCTCATTGCTGTCATCTAATTTGTTAGGGGTACAACTGGTCATAGTCCCTTACGGTCATCATTATTTCTATAAGGTCAGTAGTAATGTCCTTACTTTCGTTGTCATTTTTGTCTGTCTTTCAAAGAACCAAATTCTGGTTTCGTTGATTTCCTCTCTTCTACCCCCAGCTTGATTTTGTCTGTTCCTCTCTTTACAATCTCCTTCCTTCTTCTCCCATTGAGGTCAGTGCACTCTGCTTTTTCTATTCCTGAAGCTGTCAATCTAAGTACATTGGATTTTTCTCCTGTGTTAACGTCGCCGTTCCCAGCTGTAAGTTTCCTTCTGAGGGCTGCCCGTGCTGCGTCCGTTAGTTTTGCTGCGTCTTATTTCCATCTGCATTCATTTCAAAGCGTTTTCTCATTTTCCTTCTAAATTTTTTTTTTTTAAATTCAATCCATTGGTAAGGAATATGCTGTTTCGTGTCCGCACATGCATGAATTTTTCAGTCTTCTGTTAGCGGCTTCCAGCCTCAGTCCCCTGTGCTTGGTGAAACTTGTCTTTTCTTTTTTTTTTTTTTTTTAAGAGTTTATTTATTTATTTGACAGAGAGAGACACAGCAAGAGAGGGAACACAAGCAGCAGGAAGCGGAGAGGGAGAAGCAGGCTTCTCGCTGAGCAGAGAGCCCTATGTAGGACTCAATCCCAGGACCCTGGGATCATGACCTAAGCGGAAGGCAGACGCTTAACGACTGAGCCACCCAGGCACCCCGGGGAAACATTTTATATAATTTCAATCTTTTCTAATTTCTTGCAGCTTATTTTGTGGCTAGACCTATTTTCTGTCCTGAAGGGTGTCCCTCGTGCCTGAGAGGGACATGTGTTCTGCCGGTTGTCCGGGCAGGTTCTGTCAGTGTGTGTTAAATCTCGTTACTGTGCGGCATCCTCCGGCCCTCTTCCGGCTGACCTCCTCTTTGGCGGTTCTGCTCGTTATTAAAAGTGGGGTATGGAGCCTCCCACGGCGGTCAGAACGTTTCTCCCACTCGTTCTGTCAATTTTGCTCCATGTATTTTGGGTCTGGGTATGAGTGTAGATGTTGGTCATTATTTTGTCTTCTTAATGATTTTGACAGTTAACAGTCTAGAATGTTCTTGTTTGATTCTCACAAGTTTTAACTGAAAGTCTGTTTGTCTGACGTTCAGACACAACCTCTGCTCCTTTCTGGCTGTTGTTCGCATGGCCTGTCTTCCCCCACCTTCCATCTTCAGCTCCGTGTGCTGCGACTCTAAAATGTCTTGCACGCAGCATGTGGTGGGGTCCTGTGTTTGTGATCCATCCTGCCACGGGGCTACTCTGGAGTATTTAGTCCACTTACATTAAAATTAGCTACTGATGAGTAAGGACGGACCTCTCCGGCTGTTCTGTTTGCTTCTTGTCGTGTCTAATAGCTACGTCTATGTCCTGGATATTTTTTATTTCCTCCCTTTGTGTTTCATTGATTTTTTAAAAATATTTTATTTATTTATTTGACAGAGAGATTACAAGCAGGCAGAGAGGCAAGGAGAGGGGGAAGCAGGCTCCCCGCTGAGCAGAGAGCCCGTCGTGGGGCTCCATCCCAGGACCCTGGGATCATGACCTGAGCCGAAGGCAGAGGCTTAACTCACTGAGCCCCCCAGGCGCCCCTGATTCACTGAGTTTTATTACTGTCCTGTGTTGATTCCCTTCCCATTTCCTGTTCTGTTTTTGTAGAGGTTGTCCCGGGGATGACAATCAACAACGTAAACTTAACTTCATTTTGTTTTATTCAAGATTTTCCTTTTTTTTAAATTTTTAAGTACTCTCTACACCTGATGTGGGGCTTGAACTCATAACCCTGAGGTCAAGAGCCATATTCTCCACTGACTGAGCCTGCCGAGCGCCCTTATAGCAATTTATTTTGAATCAATACTGGTTCAGCTTCAGTAGTATAGAGAAATTCTGCCCCTGTACAGCTCTGTTCCCCCCTGTTAAGCTGTTAGTGTCCCGTTTCCATGTCGTGTAACCATGAGCAGAGACGTCCGATTGCTTTATGCATGTGTCTTCAATTATGCAAGGAGAAAAGAGAAGTGACAAACCCAGACTGTAAGAACACCTCTACCCGTGCCGTCTCTCCTCACGTGAAAGGATGCAGTGTCCTTTGCAGAGAACAGCTCCCTTTCGCGCTCCGCGTCACGGTGGGTCCGCCCGCGACGCCCCCTCTTGGCATCTGGTTATCGGAGAATCTCTTAAACTCTCCCTCGCTTCCTGAAGGGTAGTTTTGCCCAAGACAGAATTGTCGCTTGACGGTTCTATTCTTTCGCCGCTCGGAATAGGTCGTCCCTTTGCCTCTCAGCCTCCTCCGTGCTATCTGAAAAGTTTGGGGGGCAAATCCTAGGACCGCCTCTGGTTAGATCCGTCAGAAAGGTAATTGCCGGGAGGATACTGGAGCCGGCCAGCTCCCACCTCGAGTTCACTCCACGCCCTCAGAGGTGGCTGTGTCCCCAGGGTCCCTTGTCACTCTCCCACTGGGCTCTCCAGCTGCCCCACAGGGACCACCTCTGGCCCCACTGCCGCCAAGCCCTCAGGAGGCCGCTGAACCCCAGGTCATAAAAGGTCAGGAGCCCAGGGAGGACAGGAGGGAGCTGCTTTTATTCTCCTCGCCCTTTTACTGCGTTTGAGTGAGCCAGGCTCCCTGGTGGCGCCTGGGCTGACCCCGCTCTTCACAACGGCCCCTCACAGGAGAGGAGATTGCGACGCTGGGGGACTGCAGAGAGAGCGGGCCACAGCCCAGTGTCGGACACCTCGGGCTGGAGCACAGGCTGCCGGGGTCAGTCCTGCGGCTGCCCTCCGTCCGTCCGCCCGCATCCAAGGCGGGCACCAGGTTCCCTCTCCCGTGGCCCCCGCCCTCGCTGCCTGCCCGCAGCCCCGCTCACCGTGCTCACCGGCTCATTGGCTGTGCTCCACGCGGGACATTGCTCTGGCCCTCAAGGCCCGCTATGGACAGAACGTCTCTGTCCCCTCCAAAATTCACGTTTTGAAGCCCACCCTCCCGCGTGACTGTATTTAGAGACCGGCCCTTTATGGAAGTAGCCAGGGTTAAGCTGGGTCCTGAGAGCGGGGCTCTGGTCCCCTAGGCGGGAGGCAGGAAGAGCCGGCGGGCGGGCGCTGAGAGACAGCCGTGGCCTAGGCGCCAGGAACAGAGGTGTCAGGATGGGACCCCCCTTGCCGGCACCCTGTCCTTGGGCTTGGCAGCCTCCCAAACGGTGAGACACGCTTGTTTCAGGGCTCAGTGTGCCTTTCTGTTCTGGCAGCCGGAGCAGAGACAGACACCCAGACCTCACCTCCCAGGGAGGAGATGAACAGCCGTGAATCAGGCCTCCTCCATCACATGTCAATGCACACAGTGACATGCCTGGGACAGAGTTAGGGCTGGGCAGGAAGGCACCCCAAGAGGCCGGGGCGGAGTGGACAGCTGCGGGATGAGGAGGAGGTGAGCCGGCAGAAAAGAGCTCCAGAGACTTCTGGGTGGTAGACACAGTCCAGGCCCGACCCCCCGACCCTGGTTCCCAGCATCGACCAGGTTCACGGAGGCCAGCAGCCTTGCTGTTCCGGCCACACCAAATTCAAGAATGGACTGTTCCTCAGGGTCAAGTCTGCTTCTGGTCAAGCAAGGAGTGCTGGCGGCTTTGAACCAGCCGTCCCTCACGTTGAATTAGTGCAGAGTGGGGAGCTGGGTAGAGCTCGGTGTGGGCGGCCGCGCTGGGATTTCTGGACAGAATGGTAGTGTTCACAGGCTCCATGACCGGCACGAACAGCAGCCAGGAGCCGGGATCAGGTTCAGAGATGAGCTGCCAGGGATTCTCCAGCGCTTCCTGGCCTGACCGCAGCCCTCCGCCCCTATCCTTGGCCGCCCGAGCCCAGGCCCCCACCCCCAGCTCCCAGGACCGTGGCCCAAGCCAGGTGTCCTTTGACAAACCCAGGAGTCCCTTTCCTGCCACCTTGAAAGTGCTGCTCAAAGCATCTTTGTTTGAGGCTCCACTGGTGAAGCCACAGCCCCGCCCTGGCTCCTTAATCACCCCCTGGCCAGGCCCCCACCCCCTCTAGCCCTTTAAGCCCCCAGGTCCTCCCCTGCGCGTCAGCAGGGAGGGCACCGGCCAGAGGGTGAGAGCAGGCTTCAGGGACTGTCGGGCAGGCGAGGGCGGCCGGCAGGCAGAGGAGCTAAGGTGGTGGGATGGGGGCCTGGGGAGGCCAAGGGGGCTCAAATCTTGTAGGAGCTGGGGGGACAGGTGTGGTCCCTGGGGCGTGGGCAGAGGGCCGTGCATAGGACCTGTCTCCGTCCCCCAGCCCCAGGAGCCAGGATAGATCCAGGACCAACCAGGGGCTGAGGGAAGACAGAGGGCCTCTGGGGCCTGGGCTAGGACCCTCCTTCCATCTCTTTGCAGGCTCTGACCAGAGTCCCCCACCCTAAGCTGTGCCACCCTTACCAGGCCCAGCCCTGAAGACACCATGAGTGGGGCTTCCTGCCTCGGGGTGTTGGTCCTACTGCTGCTGGGTGAGTGGGGGTCAAGGGCTAGGGGGGGTCCCTGATGTCCCATCACACCCCTGTCTGGCCTGGTTCCCCTAGAGCACTCGGGGACACCCTAATCTTGGCTTCACTGGTTCCGTTCTCCCTGTTGCTGACCGTGGGCTCTCTAAGCTCCTATGTGCTCATGTGTGTAGGGGTGTGAGACCCCCCTCCCATCAGGCTGCCCTGGGGAGGGTTAAATCAGGTAACCAGGCCAGTGTGGTGATTGCACAAAAGCCTGGCACCTGGTCCGTGTGACAAGTATGTTCCACCCTCCTTCCTAATCTCCGACATCCCTCCCCCGAGCCCCGTTATCTGACACCAAATTCCTAATCCAGGCCTTTCCCTTTGCTGCTTCCTCCTCCAGGAGCTGCTGGGACAGCGACGCGGGAGTCCGCAGGTGAGGACGCCTCAGAGTCCCTGCACTCTCGGCCCGGCGTCTCCCCGACCCCACCCACCTCGCAGCCTACCCCCCACCCCCGTCTTCTGCCCTCCCTCGAGTCCCCCTTGTCCCCCGCAGACTGCGGGCAGCCCCAGGTGTCGAGTCGGATCGTGGGAGGCCGGGACGCCCGGGTCGGACAGTGGCCGTGGCAGGCGAGCATCCAGCACCGCGGGGCGCACGTGTGCGGGGGTTCGCTCATCGCCCCGCAGTGGGTGCTGACCGCGGCGCACTGCTTGCCCAGGTCGGCGGGCGGCGGCAGGCGGCAGAGGCGGCGGGCGGCGGGGCCCCGGGTAGGGGCGGGCAGCGGGGCCCCGGGGGGCGGGGCCTAGGGCGGGGGGCGGGGCCTGGGGCTCCCTCGCCAGCTGGGCCGGGTCGTGCAGGCCTACGCTGCTGTCCGAGTACCGCGTGCTTCTGGGGGCGCTGCGCCTGGTCCCTGCCTCGCCCCGCGCGCTCTCGGCGCCCGTGCGCAGGGTGCTCCTGCCCCCCGACTTCTCCGAGGACGGCGCCCGCGGCGACCTGGCGCTGCTGCAGCTACGCCGCCCGGTGCCCCTGAGCGCCCGCGTCCAGCCCGTGTGCCTGCCCGAGCCCGGGGCCCGCCCGCCCACCGGCACACCGTGCTGGGTCACCGGCTGGGGCAGCCTGCACCCGGGAGGTGAGGCCGGGGGCGGGGACGCCTCTCCATCACCCTCTGACGGGAACCCCAGCCCCGCGCTGTCCCTGTCCGGGACTCGGCGCGACCTCTGGGGAGATGCTCCCTGTTTGTCCTCCTCCCAGTCAGACGGCGAGTCGTGCCTGGCCCGCCGGGTCAGGCTCGTCAGCCCTGGTCTCTCCCAGCTCTCAGAAGTCCTCCTCCCACCCCCTGCCCCGACCCCAGTGCCACTTCCAGACTGGCGACCTCTGCAGGGAGTGAGGGTACCACTGCTGGACAGGCGCACCTGTGACCGTCTGTACCACGTGGGCACCGACGTGCCCAGCACTGAGCACATCGTGCTGCCAGGAAACCTGTGTGCGGGCTACGTCCAGGGCCACAAAGACGCCTGTCAGGTGCGCAAAGCTGCCTGGAGCCCTGGAGTCTAGGTCCTGTGCCTAGCACCCTCCCTCCTTCCCTGGAACCCAAGACCAAAGGGCCATCCATCCTGGCCCCTAACCCGGAGGCAGCACCTCGGGGACTGGAGCCCTGGGACTGCCCTCCCACATCTTCAAAGGGCTGAGACCTAAGCTTGCCTTTCTCCTGCAGGGTGACTCTGGGGGACCCCTGACCTGCATGAGATCTGGGCGCTGGGTTCTGGTGGGCGTGGTGAGCTGGGGCAAGGGCTGTGCCCTGCCCAACCGTCCAGGGGTCTACACCAATGTGGCCACTTACAGCCCCTGGATTCAGGCTCGCCTTAGCCTCTAACGCAGTCACACTGACCTGGAGCCAGAGGCTGGGGTCCCTCTGAGGACCTGCGCAGTCCCCCCGCCTTGCACCTCCGACTTGAGGCTCACGGGTGGTATCATCCACCTGTCCATCCCTGTCTCCTCTGTAGGGCCCACCAAGCCCTAGCCACCAGCCCTCCTCCAGGAGCCTCCCGTGGGGTGGAGGGGGGCTGTGTCACAATCCCTCCCTTTCCCTCCCCTTCCCGCTCATATTACCCTTCTCAGCTGCAGCCCTTGGGTGCCCAGAGACAGGCAAGTCAGCTGGTGCGCCGTCTGGCCTCTGGGTCCCATTTGTCTGTTTGTCTGGAGGAAGTCGGGGACAGTCAAAGTATGAGAGGGATTGAGGCCCAGGAGATGCTTCTCCATGGCTGCGGGGGACCCCCAGTTGACAGCCGGCGGGGAAGCCCCTCCCTGCCACAACCACAAGGAGCTGAATGAACCTGGGACCCAGTGCCCCCCCCACTCCTCCCAGGCCTCCAGCTGAGAGCCCATCAGGCCACCCCACAGGCCAAGCCCTTGAACCCAGTGGAGCCCTCCCAGACTCGTGGCCCCCAGAGCTGTGACTTAATAAATGTGGGTGTTGCAGGCTGCTCCGTGAGTGGTGGTCATTTCCGACAGAGCAATAGAAAACGAGTAGAGACCTCGCCCCCCTGCAGGAGAGGTGCCCCCGAGGTCTGGGTGGGCCAGCCCTAGGCTCTAAAAGGCTCAGGAGCCTGGGATACCTAGCCCCATGCCCTCTATCCAGGGAGGGCTGGGAGGCCCTAGACAGGCCTGGCCAGAGCTTCAGCCGTGCTAGTTTCTGTGGCGGGGCCCCTTGCTGGGGAGAGTCTGCGGCTGTGTCCCGGCTGTGGCGAAGACCCCCACGCCCAGGACCGCCCCCTGCCACCTGCATCTGGAAACCAGGTGAGGCCCCTTGCAGCTCCCTGCCCACCCTTGTGTGACTGGGACCTGGTTCCTGTGCCCTCCCTCCCGTCTGCTCATTGGCGGGTGGAAGACCGACCATCCCAGTAGATACAGCTCAGTGTTTGCAGAAAGATCAAGAAACTGAGCAAAACCTGGGAACCCCAAAGCCTAATCTTTGGGGCTAACAGGGTCAGTGGGGCCAGGAGACCTGGAGGAGGCCATCATCAAAGATGTGGCCCCAGGGGTGGGTGGGGGGAGCGCAGGACCGATTCTCGCCTCCTCCTTTCCCTCCCAGGAGAGAAGGAAGGTAGGCGCACCAGGCCGGGCGGGCAGGGTGGGCCCACAGAGGGCTCCAGACTGCATTCTCCCTGCGCCGAGCGTCTTCCGTCCAGGGAAGCGCTCCACTGTCCTTGGGGGATGGCTATTGGGGAGCAGGGTGTCCAGAATGGGGCATGGCTATGGGCACGTCCGCAAGGGGACCCCGGTGGCCCCTACTGGGTGATGCTGGCCATCCTCGTTCCCTCCCTCAGCCTGTAGCCAGCTAAGGGACCTTCCCCAGGATGCCTCCCAAAGCGCCGAGATGGGCACAAGCCAGGGGCTGGGAGCCGGCCTGCCTCAGCCGAGGACCTGCTGCGACTGGGGGAGTGGGTCCGCACTCCAAGGGCCCCGCGTTTCTGAAGGGTAACCTAGGAGCTCAACGGGAGAGTCCGGAGTTGGAGGGGCGGGAGCTGGGCTGGAGGGGAGGGGTCCGCACATGCCAACACATCAGCTGCTTCTCATGAAGCCCTTACCAGATGCCACGCGGAGGGCTTTGCTGCACCGCCGCGTGGGAAATCACCTGATACCCATCAATCAGACGAAGAAACTGAGGCCCCAAGTCATGCAACGGGTAGATGGTAGGCTGGGATTGGCCCAGGCGGTCTGACTCTGTGGGCAGCTGGGGATGGGAGGGCGGAGGTTCCAATCCCCTTTACTCTCTCCGCTTGCTTCCCCACAGCGCAGGGGCTCCGGGCCCCCTTTCTCTCTGCTCCTTCCTGCTGTGTGTTGGTCCGCAAGGTCAGTGGGGGTGTTGGGGGGCGTGGGGAGTGATGTGACCTGCTAGGTGACAGGCCGGGAGGCTGTGCCCCCAGGAGGGGAGCACCAGGTCGCCCAGGGTGGTCCTGGGGAGTCCCGGGCAAGGGGGACGCTGGGCTCCCCTGTAAGGCAGGCATTTCCCAGCTGCCCTGCTGCTCCAGCTGGTGATGCTGCAGCCAGCTGGCCTAGGCCCTCTCAAGACCGCTGACGTGGCCTCGGTTTCCCCTTCTGTCTTCTGACTTGACACTGCTCGCCCTCTCGTGGTGGCCGGGAGGGCTGAGAAGACGGCTAAGGCCCTCACCTGCGGGGCATGTCCTGGCTGCGCTAAGAACACCCACGGGGCCTCCTCCTGTTCACTTTCGCCAACGTGGGGACAGGCCCAGAGAGGTTAAGGGGCATGTTGGGCAGGCCCCCCACCCTCCTTGCCACCTCCCCTAGGCTGGGTGACCTCTCACAGCGGGGACCGCTGTAATCAGACACCAGTCATCACCCAAACCCCAGCACTGGGCTGCGTGTTAGTTCCGTAACGCCCCCAAGTGCCCTGCAGAGTCCAACTGTGTATCCGCTTCGTGGATGGGAAAGCAGGTTAAGGCTCAGGGCCTTGCTGGAGTTACCAAGCTGATGTTTGAACCCAGACGGGCTGCTGGAGGGTGGGCGGAGACAGACATGATCTTTGGAGGGATGGAGTGTGGGCCCACTCAGGGTGACTCCTGGTAGGCATCCTGAGCTGTGACACCGGCCGGGACAAACCTAATAAGGCAGGTATCTAGGTGGCAAGAGTGCACACGTTAGGGACAACGGGCCGGGGTGCAGCTGGGACAGAACATGGTGGGCGGAGAGGAGGCCCCTCCTTTCCCCACACCCGAGCTCCCATCTGAGAACCTCCTTGGCCCCCACGGTCCCCACAGTCCCCACGCCTCCCCTGCCGCACGCTCTCCTTCCTCAGCAGTACAGGATTTAAAGCCCCCAAATCTCTATACACAGAGAGGCTGAGATGAAGATGGAAATCTTTGGCCTGAGCCAAGGATGCGCCACAGCCTCCTGAGGTCACCCAGGGATGGGGGAGTTAGCGGGGAGCCACAGCCACTGGATCAGGGAGGGAAGAGTCACAGGAGGGGAAAGGACTTCAGGGGGCTCTGGAGGAGGCAGAGGCTAGAAGTAAAAAATAATCATTTTGGTTATAGTTTTAGAAACACCTACTGAGTACCAATTCTTTATTTTAAAAAAGATTTCATTAGAGAATATGAGCAGGGGGGAGGGGCAGAAGGAGAAGCAGGCTGCCCGCTGAGCAGAGAGCCCAATGAGCAGTTTGGGGCTCCATCCCAGGACCCTGGGGATCACCACCCCAGCCAAAGGCAGACGCTCAACCAAGCCCCCCGGGTACCCCCAGTACCGATTCTTGATGAAAATCCATGAACTTTATAAACAGCTGTTCTCTCCTCTTAAAGACGAGGAAACTGGGCTTTCATGACCTTAACTGTCCAAAGCGGCACAGGCTGCACCGGGACGGAGGACTTGAATCCCCCGGTGGTCTGAACACCAAGCCCAGCCCGGGGAAAATTAGTCAAAGGAAACCTCGTTTAGAACGCAGTCGGGAGGACAGCAGGGGGCGCTGTCAGCTTTCTCGCTCATCAGCTGCGGCCCCCACGGGGAGAGTCGCACCCCCGGGCAGGTGCACGCGGCCTGACTACCCCAGCTGGAGGAAGGCAACAGCCCAGCCAATGAGAAGCCACTACTAGAACTCACTTTATTCCAGTTAACTTTTTCGTTTGCAACAGCCCTCCCGGTTTCGCCTTTCCTGTTACCAGAGTTTCTCTCCCTCGTTCTGCCGACTTGCCTACGGTTTTGCTGCAGCTTGCTCGTCCTGGCTTGTAACTCTCCGCTTTCCCCAGGTAAGCCCAGTTTCACTGGTAAAATAACCGGCAGCTTTATTTTCTTCAGGGTAATAGTTGTTAGTCACAGCTTGGTTCACGGCCAAGGCAGCAGCAGCTTCGGCTTCTAACCACTCTCAAGAATCATCACATCGCAGCCCCCAACATCGGCAGCGCTGTTTGGCATGCAGGGCCACCCACCGGCTCCCTGGGTGCCCCGGCATGGGGGACACGAGCCGTGAGCGACCCAGCTGAGGCTCTGTCCCTCCCAGTACTGGCTATGGGAGAGACAACACCTCTTGCCCTTGCTCTAGTGTAAGTGCTACCTGGGGCAAGGCAGAACAGTGACCCAAGGACAAGGCCTGCGCTGTTGGTAGGGAAGCCCCCTGCAAGGACAGCCAGCCAGGGAAACCAAGTCTAGGGGTCCTTCCAGAACCCCAGTGCACGGAGCCAGCCAAGGCCCCTGGGCTGGGGGGCTCCTCCTTCCTCCTCCCCTGGGGAGCGAGCACCAACTTTGGCGAAGGCTTAGGGCATTTAAAAAAAAAGATTTTATTTGTCAAAGAGCGAGCGAGCAAGCGAGAGATCACAAGCAGGGGGAGACTGCGGAGGCAGCAGACTCCCCGCTGAGCAAAGAGCCCAGTGGGGGGTCTGGATCCCAGCAGAAAACAGACCTTAACTTACTGAGCCACGCAGTCCCCCGGAGCCTTAGGACATTTTCCCTGGGAGTTCCCCCAGCCCACCCCCTCCCCCAACACCCACGGGCAGCTTCCTAGGGTCCTTCCCGGCCACAAAGCCCAGGCAAGGCTGGCGGTGGAAATGGGGACAGCCCACCCATGAGGGCTGCCGGAAGAGCCGGAATTATCACCCCCTCAAAATGGCGGCCAGGGAGCCCCTCAATTAGGAGACCTCCCTCCCCACACACACCAGCCCAGGCGTCGTTGAGACGCGAAAGTCCTGCACCCCGATGACCAAGATGCACCGCATTCACTGACCCTCCCTGGGATGTGGGGCTACTATACACTCGCCACGTCAGTCCCCAACGTTCCCCGCCATCGGGCCGATGCTGCGCCCAGACCACCCCCCAACTGCTACCGGAGGGGTGGGGGTAGGGCTCAGCTTTGCCACTCCCAAGATGGCGCCGCCACCTGCCGCGCGGGACCCCGGCCGCACGCCCACCAGGCCACGGCGCCGAGATGGCGGCCGGACATGCAGTCGGATCGAGCGGCTGGCTCGCATCACTTAAAATGGCGGCGGTGGCGACGGCGGCGGCGGCGGCGGCGGCGGGGCCGCAGGGCGCGAGGCACGCTGGGGCGGGG